CATTGTACAGTGGTATTAAGTGCCGAAATGTGCACCTCTGCCTACCCCTTCGGGGATAAAAAGGCGTGATGTTATGTTATGTTATGTTGTAACTTTCAAATTCTTATTAGTAGTAGAAAATTCGATATTAATGTGCAGTGGTGACAAATGAGCTGCAATTTTAGCAACAAAATTAATATTATTCGTAGGGTTGTCAAAACTTAGATCATTATATTTAAAAATATGTTATGACTGTGCCTATGGGTTTGTCAAAAGCTTTATGAAAGCATATTTTATGCATACTTGCAACCCTTAAAAGTGTTGTGTTCATTTCACCCTCAAAATGGAACGGTTGGTATGCTTTGACGTACTTCGCATAAGTTGCAGACTTTCTATATTTATAATTATATCGAATGATTGCAATTTTTGTTATAATTAAAACAAATTAATTATGTGTATGGTGTATTTTATTCAACGTTCCCCATACTATATTACAAAGAGTTTACAATAAATGAATTTGGATTGAAAAAGAAAACGTGTGTCAAACGTATGAAACTTTGTTTATATAGGACTAACTAGTCGCATAAAGATGAAGAATTTCCTTGTCTAACTAAGTGTTAATCTCTGGAAGATATTGTTCGAATTCAATAATTTTGTGGTGGATAGTTCATTTAATGAGAAATAAAATCACTTTACGATCAATAGGAACCAAGCGTTGGGGAAAACTACGCGGGAATAGCTTTTTTTTTTTAAGGGGGAAAATCATTCAATGACTTATCCCGCCCGGGTGAGGCGAGAGAGAGTGTCAGAATTTTACTGACTAAAAACAACCCCGTTTCTAATTCTGCACTTCGAGCCGGAGTCCTAGCAACCCGTTAAGCCCTCCGCGGCTCCGTAATGGCATCAGCCCTATCGGGCCCCATCTGTTGTGGTCAGATGGCTCCTTGAGGCGCGCGCTACGCGCGTACATTGGCGTCTGGTTCTGGTCGGACGGTGATTTACCCGTGTTCGTCGTCCGCAGGCCCTTGCTTACGGTGGCCGGAGATCGCGCAACGGCTTCGTTCCCTCACCGCCTACTCTTTAGCTAGCATGGCTACTTCGCAGAAGGAGGAGACAGCATCCCGGTCCCCCTCGCTACGTACCATGGTCTGAACCAGAACCGGACGCGAGAGGACGCCGTCGCACGCGGGAATAGCGAGTGTATCATAATTTATCTTGAGGAAAATGATATCAAAAAATGAGGTCATTTAAGTGAGTGTTCAGATAAACCCTATGGGTCAGATTCATTCAATACACAGCATGTTTCAAAATTACTACATTTCTACACCAAAACAGATAATTATGTTCTTGCTTTGAAGTTTATGCATCAAAGGTGATGTTCCAGAAATATTAGGAGCCTTTTGAATACGTATTCAGATCTAATTAGGTATATACGTATATACCTAATTAGATCTTGACTTAACTTCAGTTTATTTGTCGAAATTTATTTTTATATGGGAATTTTGTAATTAAATATTTATAATTACGTTGTTTAATCCATGCAATTAGTAGATTTAATTTCCGAATTAGGAATATAAAAAATATTTAATGATACTATTTAATGTTGATGTTTTATAAATTTACTGACATTGTTTTATTTTTAAACATTCTGTATGTTGTAGACTTGTGATAATTTTATTAGGTAGATATTTTTATTTATTGTTCTATATATTATACGACACAGTATGTTTCCAGTCACTTAATGCAACATACGCAAACATGTGGGATAAAATTCTATTCTTGTTCTGTGTAACTGCGACTTTATGGGAAGTGAATTCCGTGTATCTGAAAAATACCGTACCTACGGAAAAATATGTTCCCTGTAATTTAGGATTGTTACATTTTGATAAAGTTCGTGAAAATTACTGGAAGTGCACAGTGAATTTTGGACTTTATGACATGACAGATGCTGTTATGTCGATCGTTTTTAATAACAAAATCAATGTGGACACCGTAAGTATTTCTAGCATTCATTTCAATGTTCTGCACATTATTATTATGCAAAACTATGGGGTAAGCCATCTAAGGGGTAATATACATAGTGTCTAGTATTGTGGTCATTATTTCTAGTTTATAAAACAATAAGGAGGCCTATCCAAAGTTACCAAACGTGATCTATTAGATGTATTTATAATGTTATGCATGAAACACAAGTTTTTAAACACCGTCCTATACATTTCAATCATTAAAATTTAATAGTAGTAATGGTTGATTTATTTTCAGTATCCAAACAACTACTTCACAGTACAAAAAACAAACAAGTATAGTCTCTTAATATCTTCGAAACAACTTCTACTGGAAAAATTCGTCTTTAATGTGTCTACAGAAAATTTGAAGAAAAATGATAATGATGTTCCTGTTGTCAGTTTGTTGACTCTAAACAATATTCCTCTATGCAACGAAAGAATTAAGGTATGTGCGTTTCTGTGTAACCTATTGATGTTCATAATGATATTCCGTGAACGCACGCATTATAAAATGAATGTTATGATAATTGTACTACTTTATACAAAATGTTAAGGAATTTATAATCATAGTGTGAAAATTATTTTCTAATTCTGTGTTAACAAATCTTCAATTGCTTTTAAATAATTGTGTCTATACCTACTCAATGTTTTTCAGGCAGCGCTAAGAGCGATACCAGCGAATGTAACTCACAGTCATTCAGGCAAGCTGCATGCCCATTTCTGTGGCAGAAGGCCCATTAACCATACAGAACTGGTTACAACAAGAACTGAGGCTCAACAGGGTGACTGGCCCTGGCACGTCGCTCTCTACTTGAAGGAGAGCCGAAATACAATAAGTTACCATTGCGGTGGCAATGTCATTTCTAGAACTGCGATTTTGACTTGTAAGTTTCTACATGATATGCTCAGGGCAGGCTCGACGGCGTAATATTTCGATTGCACAGAAAACCGATGTGATATAAAGCTCGCATGAATGAGGTTACCAGAGGCCCATTGTTGTTTTGGAGATTAATTCCTCATCCTCAGACCCCTAATCCTGAATAGGCCTTCATCGAACCTGTAAATCCTTAGGTGTTATGGGTATCTATGGACGGCGCCGATTATAATAAATAGTTTACTAGAGGTATAAACTTTACAGTAACCTAACTGTAATTGCATTTGAACCTTCTGGATTAGGCTTAGAGATGTTCCGTAACTATATTATAGACACTTTGATTTACTTTCACGTCGCAGTCGATATTATTTTTTGTTTTATAAACTAGTATACTTAAACTAGGTACCTAGTATATAAACCTGAATGTTGGACTCAAAATAACAACGATTATTTATTTTTGTTTCCAGCTGCCCACTGTGTTTCCAATAACGGTGTTTTAAGAAATGTTAGCAGCATCTACATAGTTGCTGGAGTCAGTAATTTAACAAACTCGAAGCAACCAGGAAGGCAAAAACTCGTTGTAAGTAATATTTGAACCTTGTTTGTCCAATAGTAAAAATGTGAAACCACGATATGAAACCAAGTAAAGTCGACTGGACTATAGTTGTGGTTAAATTAAATTAAAAAGAATATCTCGTCTGCCGCGTGTTGGTGAAGTGATTGCAGATCTTTTTCCTGGGTCGGGCGAGGAATTGTTATTTTTCGGCTTTTCTAAAATTCCTGAAATTCCTGAAATTCTCAATTTCTGAATTCCCAACAACGACCCTCAACTTCCTAATCCCCAAAAGGCCGGTAACGCACTTGTATTGCCTCTGGGTTCCAGGTGTCCATGGGCGACGTCGATTGCTTACCATCAGGTGATCCGTCTGCTAATTTACCGTTTTATGCCATAAAAAAAATCCCAGTTTCGAAATGGTAGTTGGTATTAAAAGTGTGACAAAGATATAACCCTTATCACATGGGACTCTTAACACAATTGGTGGGTGTTACAACGTATAGATAATTTTGCGCATTTCTGCCAGCAACTTCACAGATTAAATTGCATTAAATATAAAATAATTTCTTATTATTTTCAGATAGAACAAATCATTATGCACCCAGCATATAAAAGCGGTGATCCTACATCAGATTTAGCAATAATCAAAGTGAAAAATATTGATTTTACGGATTACGTTCAGCCTATATGCGTCTGGGGGCCCGTGTTTGATAAACATAAATTTTATTATAAAGAAGCAACGGTAGGTTTTCATAAAAATTACGTTACATACATTATTTTATTATTTGTTAGCAAATACAAATTTTTTGTCCTTTTTCATTTCACTGATTCAATTTTTTTTTATTGTATGTTAGTGTTGTGTTAATTGTGCAAATTTTCTGCACTAAAGTTGAATCTAACTATTACCTATTTGTGTATTACTAAACATTGTGAAACATTTTTTTTTTCAGATGGTAGGCTTCGGTCTCACAGAACGCAATATGGTATCCACAATATTAAGATCAACTCACGTTAAAGTGCAAAATGACTCTACTTGCACCTCTTTTATGGAGACTTACAAATTATATTTGAATGATTTCACTATTTGCGCGGGAAACGGTCCTAACTCCAGTAAGTAAGAACACAATAATATACTATAGCCTTGTCTCAGTAGAATGTAGTTAATAAAAACAGTCAAAGTTGGTTAACCTATAAATGGCGACTGTATAAGCCCAATATCTATTGGTACCTTTATTATCTCTTAATACTATGTATATCGGAGTCGCGGAGAACCTAACAGATTACCGGGCCTCCGGCTCGACATGCAGGAGAGGAAACGGGGTGGTTTTTAGTCAGTAAGAGTCTGACACTCCCTCCCGCCTCACCCAGGCGGGAGCAGTCATTCGATGATTTTCCCCCCTTCAAAAAAATAATACTATGTATACAGAAGCTGTTGGTATACAAATTTAAATAAATACCTATGGTTTGTTATATATTTGTTACATAATAACGTACACAATTAAAATATTAATCCCGTTCAATGGAGGCATTTAAACGAGTTAGTTAACAAGTAATAATGAATTTGTATCAATCCGAATAGCATATACATTTACATAGCATTTACATAGTATTCACTAAGACACAAACAGATGAACTTGACTAAATATTATCCTTTGAATAATGCAACTGAAGGTGCATGAACTGTACAATACTAACTAAGATTAAATTGATCAGTGGCTCGCAACTGATAGAGCTACCTGCTACAGTTATGGACTATGGACCCATTAAAGTGAATAGATTATTACTTCACATTGATCAACAGTGTGGAGGAAATGTGTTTTCCTTGGAAATAATATGATTGCAATATTCCAAATTGATTGCTGTTGATCGCAAATCTTATTTTATTGGTTTTAGATTACATGTGATTGTATGAAACTGAAATTTCATCAAAAAATCGCGAAAGAGCAACGGCGTGAAGCATAAATAAATAGTGTAAACATAAATATATTAATCGAAATAAACAACATACAGTGTTGTTCTAATACATATAATAGATACCGATTGACCGACACACTATCTCAAAAAATACTATTGTATAAATTGTGCATCATGATAATAAATAAATTGCGACAATTCGTTTAAAACATTACACACACATTTTTTATTTTTTTACAAAAACAAAAACTTTCTCCAATACCTATATTGATTTGAAATGAAGCGTGACGTCACTTCTACCTATGTACATTTTATACGTAGAAATGACGGTTAACTTTGATTCGTTATATCTAAGTATCATTTTATTATACAACAAAATAAAAAAATACGTGTCTAATATTTTTTCATTATCTAACTGACGGACTGTCATCATTCCTATAGACATGGGTTTTTTTTACAAATAATCTTATAACCGATTGCAAGTAATTGGTAGATACGAAATATTTATTATTACATAAAAAGTTGTAATATTTTATTTTTCTTTTCAGCTGCAAATCCTCTCAATGGCGATAGTGGAGGCGGACTGGTATTTAGTACCATGCAACCTGACCACAAGATTAGCTGGTTCTTACGAGGAGTTTTTTCAAAATGTTTTCCTTCTCCTGGTGCTTCCGTCTGTAATTCTAGTTACTATGTTGTGTATACTGATGTGGGACCATACTATGGATGGATTTATTACCATGCTGACCTAGACTTCAGTGATAATGTTATGGTATCATACATCAATTAATCATCATCAACAATCCGCTGGATCTCTTTAAAAAAAAAGGAATTTGCTATTATCTCCGAACTTGTCAGGCGTATTGCAGATCACAATTTAAAAGGATCAGGTTAACAGAGAGCGGTGCTGCCCGGTTTAAATAAGAGTCCTTATTAATTTTAGAAGAAAGTATAACTTATGCTGTTCAAAAAATAAAACATGCAAACCTCTTTTATCTTCTAAAATGCAACCTTTCATCTCAAAAAATCGGAAATATATTAAAAATTTCTTAAAGCAACATCACCGGGCGCCGCTCTTGCATAATTTATTAGAATCTTATTAAAAAGTGTCAGCGAAAGAAAAAGGAGAGGTTCGTATTATAAAAGTCTCTATTATGTCGTCCAAGTAAGTTGTTCTGTGAAAAAATAAAAATAATTATGTTGCCTTTGTTTTCAGACTTCATTGTTAATTTTATCTTTTAATAAACAACTTTTTAATGAACTACTTTGATGGGGCATCGAAGTGGGTTAGAGGTTTTTTGAATATTAAATATTGGCAGACAAAGCTGGTATTTTAAATGTTTGTAATTTGTTGTGTTTATACCGAGAACCCTGATACACAATTTGATGACCTTCGGCACAGTGAATCATAGCTATGACACCTTTCAAACAGAAGTCGTCAGAGCTAACTTTCAACTTTTACTAAAAGTAACAAAAATAGCTAAGTATTCGCAAAAAAAAAGAAAATATAATACTACCTAGCTCCGTAAGAGAAACCATGATAGTAGTACCTATGTGAGCGAGCAATAACTTCGCTATGCTTCATCGGCATTTAATTTCTCGCCCGGAAATTTTTATTTTACGATCATTCATTAAGTATGATTAGTATGATTTTGTTACATACTAACTTCTGCCAGTGGCTTCGCCCGCGTACCCAGGGATAAAAAGTTTTTAAACACACGCATTTTTGGAACCCAAAAAAATGATTAAAAACACTGCAATCTAGTTATTATTGAAAAAATCAAGGACCAGATTATCAATGAAATGGAGGATAGAAATAAAATTAGCATAGAAAACAAATTAAGGCATTTACGTATAACTTGTAGCATGTTTACTATTGTTTACTCTTTTTTTCATTTTGGTTCTTTAGCTATCAAATATTAGGTTTAAACTTGTTGCACGGCATCTGATCAAACAAAAGAGTTCGAAATAATTTTACACCGAAAGCCAATCCACCTTAAACTCTAGTATATGACCGAAGTCGTTTTATTCATTCATAAAACACTAACGACTTGGTGAAACGATTAATTAAGAGATAAGAGTTACGCGTACAAGAAGTTGAAGTTCTCTCAGTACGTAGGCTTAGTAAAGTTATGACTGATATAAGATATTTTGTGTTAACACTTTTGAGTTTGAAAGCCGTAGAAAGCAACATGGAAGGGTTTGTTGTTGGAGGGATAGTACCTGTCATAACTAAATTTCCTCACTCTGTGTTTCTTAAAGTAAAATGTAATGAAAAAAATAAAGAGAAAACTAAATATTGGTCCTGCGGTGGTTCCGTTTTAAATCAAAAAATAATATTGACGGCAGCGCACTGCATGTACGGGTGTGACTCCACCAGTACTTTTAACGTTAATATGGGACATGTCAATAAGGATAAAGGCTTTTCAAGCATGGTTAGAAAACACATTATACACAAGGCTTTTAAAATTAACAATGCATCTAATGACATAGGATTGGCGTTCATTAAAGGTACCATTGAATTTAATTCAAACATTAAACGGATCGCTATTGTGGAAAGTCCCCCTTATTTTGAAAAATCACAAATTGCTGGATGGGGTTTCATTGATGTAAGTATTTTTGATTGACGTAGTTATATGAATTAGTTCGTAATTATATTTTAGATTTGTACAAAAGTGTATATTTATTAATAAGTATAAATTAAATTCTTGCTTCGTACAGTTTGTAGAACGGTCAGCAAGTCAACTTACTACAATCTGTGACAAAAAAACTAACAATTGTATATTTTTTATAGGAAATAACAAATAAGGAGGACGATTTTCTTAGGTATATAGATCAATATGTTTGGAAGAGAGATGCATGCTTGAAAGTACTCAAGCAAATGCCACATGGTACTATCTGTGCAAGAAGTGAGGATGAAGAATCATATTCTAGTGGGTAAGAAGATATTACGCTCATTTCAAGTGGAAGACCATTCATAAATCAGCCCACCACTAATGTTGTATGTCGATGTGTGAGAGTGGTTGCCGTAGACCCAATCCTCTGCCCTTCTGAATAAATTTCATCAAGTTGTATTATAAACATCAATATTGTTCTGGTCGAACTGTTAGTGTCCACGTCTCGGCTCCGATGATATATTAAGGGTCTAATGATGAAGAAGTGTAATTGTGAAGAGAACTCTTCAACGGTTTATAGTAACTACCTTGTGTTTAGGCTTATATAATTTATATTGATTAGAACTTTGCACATATGTAGATTATAATGGATCTATGCAGCTTTACACTAAAAATGTTAAAATAATAAAATAAAAACTGCCTCGTTGGCCGAGTGGTCGCAAGTGCGACTGCCAAGCAAGTGGTCTAGGGTACGATTCCCAAAGTATTACTGGGTTTTTAATAAAAACGGTATCTATGAGAATTTTGATGAAGTAAATAAGTAAAAACCTAAGTATCTAAACATCGAACTATACGCGGTAGGTTAGATGACAATAAAAATTTACACACGCACCATGACAGATCCAGAACCACAATTTCTGGAACACATACACAAATACATAATCACTTGTCGCGGCGCTCCCTGTTGGCTGGCGCCCTGGGCACTTGCCTAGTTTGCCTTAGGGATAATACGGCTGAGTACAGAAGTGTGTATTAATTTGTTATTTTTGTTCCAGAGGTGACTCTGGTAGCGCCCTGGTAGTGAGGGACTACATCCAAATCGGAATCGTTTCCTATAAGGACTTGACTTACAGCAGGAGTGTCGTGGTCTACACAGACACCGGCTACTTCTACAATTGGATCAAAGAAAATGCGAGAACACTTTATTGTTATTAGAATTTATACATGTACATATATTATACAGATCTACGAATAAAACTTTTCCTTTTTTGTATAGTTTGTGATTGTCACTAAAAATAAACGTTGTAATTATTTTTAAGCATACACAATATTTGAAAAAAAAACTCTTCCTGAACGTAATTCGATACCCGGGGCGGAAAAAGTATTGCTGAATTAAAAAAAATATGTCAGCAGTAGCACGGAGCCTGGAACGGTGGTATATGGCAAAAGGCTCACCCCCTATTACATGGGACTTAGAAATAGTAAGTGTTACATTATACTGTGCACCTCTGTCTATGCCTTCAGGGATAAGGTATGATAATATTTGATACCTACTTCTACTTGAGATAACAATGGTGGGTTACAAGCATACCTTCGTACCTTGATTATGTAGAGGAATATTGTTTATAGTCAAAAAATTAACAACAGGACAGGAACATCATTATAATTTTTCTTATTTTTTTCTGTAGACTCATTAAAAACGAACTTTTCCAGTAGAAGTTGTTTTGAGGATATTAACAGACATATATTTGTTTGTTTTCGTAACGAGACGTAGTTGTTGGTGTATTCTTGAAGGTTTGATTATTATTTATTGGCGTTCGATGAAAAAGCAAGAGGATGCTTTGCCATCTTTATCTATAAGAAATGACCAATTCTTCAGAGTTCTGCAAAATAAATGTTACTTTAATAACATATTATAGAATGTATAACTTCTGTCCCTCTGTGACTCGTAACTAGTAGAGTTGTTTTCAGTATGTTTCCGTGAGTAACTCGTAATTTTTAGTTAATTCAACCAAGTCTCACGATAGTTATTGTATGTTAACAGATCTACAGTTACCTTTTAATATATTTATGGCTATACATAACATAACATCATGCCTTTTGTCCCCGAGGGGGTATAGGCAAAGGTGCACATTACGGCACTTAATGCCACTGTACAATGTAACACCCATTTTTTACTATTTATGTTATGAGTCCTATGTATTGTAATATACCTATGGCTATACCTACTGCCATAATCTTATAATGTGGTTATACTTAAAATTCACATCCAAAAAACCATTACAATGGGCAAAAGAATTACAGATGCAAGTTCATTGTGGCTGTGAACTAACGAAGCTTTGCGACTAGACCACCAGTGCATGCCTCTGCATTAAATTAGTCGGTAAACATGCTCTAACCACGGCTTATGTTATGATAATAATACCTACTCTATTGTATCTGATAGTTCACTGAACTGTGATGTGGTGTTACAACCATGTCGTAACACTTTTTAAAATTATATTATTTTTCATCACCAGATGGTAAGCAATCGGGGTCACCCAGTCAGTCACCTGGAATACCAAAAGCGTTACAAGTGCGTAACCGGCTTTTTGGGGATTAGGAATTTAAGGATTCTTGGGGTTCAGAAATTTGGGAGATTGGGGAAGGGAAAAGGGGGTAATTGTACCTCCAGTAACCTCACTCACGCCGCGGAGAACTTAAAGGGTTTACCGGGTCTCCGGTTCGAAGTGCAGGAGTAGGAACGGGGTGGTTTTTAGTCAATAAGAGACTGACACTCGGGGGAGTGTCAGTCTCTTGACCTTGACTTGACCGGCCCGTACGTGTTGATGCATGGCTCTCCCACACTTAAAAACCAGCTTTCTAGACATGATATTTTAACCTCAACTTTCTTCGGAGATCAAATACCTACATAGAATTATTTTATTAAGCTCAGCTTACATATCAGGGGCACATCTGTAATATATTGTCAATTTCTTTTGAATCACAAAATGAGTTTGAATTAAGAAAACGAAATATTCAGTACCTAAAAAATATTTATAAAATTGTATTTTTATGAATCAGACCGTAAGAATAGGCCAAGGTGGAATAATCTCGGAAAAACTTGACGCCTGAATAAATAATAGGCTTTACCTCAATAGATTTTAATCTAAGTAACTAAGGCTTTATATTTCTTCCAAATGTTGGCCTGAATAATTGATCACATCGATCTAGATACAGTTGTCGTTCTTTGAAGGGATTTGATACTTGATTTGGTGTAACTAAACTAGTAAAGTTGGGTTGAAGTCAGCTTTGTATATCAGATACATAAGACGGAAAAATGTACAATAAATGGCCTACCTATATAATATTATTTTAAGTTACGTGATGTACCATAATAAATCATATAAATTCACGCAGGTCACTAATCAACTTTTTTACTAGAAGGAATTTGAACAATTAGTCGAAACATAAAAAGACACCGGTTACCAAGTTGTACTTCGTACCTTCAACAGAACCCAAAGGCCGAGAAGGGTAAGTAAGGAAGTAATTTAATTAAGTAATTAACTACAGAAACGTGGTAATCGCATGTAACACAGCCGTTTCACTGACTGCCTTTATAAAAATAGAGGTAACTCCTAAAAAGACGACAACTTTTTCACAAATTCTTCTACACCCTTATTACAATAACAATATGAATGAAAGTTCAATGGATCCCTTCCAAAAAGGCGCAAAATGGTTATGGCCATTTTGTAATGTTTCCTTTTTTGTAGGTATTAAAGTTAGCGTCAAGTAATCCTCTGCTTTCCATGTAAAAGCATTCCACACCTGGGATCCTTACGTGACACTACGCAATAAAGGCTTTTGTGTTGCAAAGTTGTAACTGCATGTAAAGTTAACTTTGTGTTTACGACTATAAGGTTGATTTTCTAAAGTGTTTATAAAATTAGAGGAACAGAATCGAGGTCAATGGAGCAAGAAGCTGAATGCGTTTGATAACTTCGAGTGAAAGAGTAGAATGCTGAAAGAGTTCAACTACAATGCAGATGTAATCGGAAATGTAAAATTGCATCTGTATTTATTAGAACGAAATTGTAAAATCGACTTGTAAAAATAATTGTAGATAGTACTTTTAAATTATTTTTAACCAACATTGTTTAATCACATTCATGATAAGTCGTTTTAGCAGACTAAATCTTTTGACGAAATCTTTGCTGAATTTTTTTTTTAATCCCTCTTTATAATTGATTTTCAACTTAATCTTATAAATTAAAAAAAAAATAGTCATAACACAAAGAAATTACTCCATTTTAAACTGTCACCTATTATTAAACATCAAAATAATATGTAAATGGTTTCACTTTTTAAGAATTTTGAATGGTCGTCTATTCCATACTTTCACATAATCTGAGGTATGCTATTATCACAAAAACTTGGCAACACGCATTGCGTGTCTAGAAGGTGTTGCTATTGCGACTGCCGTGGAACAAACTATGTGTTACATTTGTTATTTTTTACAACAAACTTATTTGAATTTCTATGGAAAAAACAACATTTAGGGAAAATATTGATATGATTTTGCGTCATCAAAACATTGCTGAATTATAGGTACGTATTTTCCGTGATGTCACAATGAGCTCACAACTTAAATTACTAATCGCAATTTGCGATCTCAGAAATCTTAAAAACAAAAGAAGAACTACGCAGAGAAAGTGAAGCTCTAAATTGTCTGATAACTTAATGATATAAAATTTATCTAACGTTCTTCCCTATCTCTTAAGAAAGTGGCATAATGATACTGACAAAGGGGGAATTTATTCTGTAGCGATAACAAGAACACTTTTTTATATCAAAATCAAAGCGTTGTTCGAGTTTCTTTGATGTGCCACAATTCCTTTTCAACTGGGAATCGAATTCGAAGCACGTAAAGTTATAATCATGTCGGAGTCCTCCAATGTTTGATAAAGTCTCGTGTGTTAGAGAAATGGCGTGCAATTTGTGAGCTTAAAATATACCTACTAAGTGTTTGATTCTTGATCATTTTTCAAAATCTCAGACGTTTTTTTACTTAAACATAAAATGAACTGTTAAATAAAAAATACGTAACTACGAATATTAATCTCTAGCTTCTTCATCCACTAAGCTTAAAATTGCGTAATATTCTGCCATATTTCATAGAGCGATAATACTTTGAAATTAAAGATAAATAAACAGCGTCGCATTTTAATTTCGCATTTCGACTGACTAACATTGACATTCTCGTAATTAAAACCTAAGTTTCGTGTATTTCAAAGGCTTGTATTTATTCTGGCAACTGGAACAGTTGGGCTGGCCGGGCCTTGTGTCCGATTGGCCGGGATTTAGTCGAAAATTGCCCAAATGAAAGCTCAATGAACGTGTCACGGCGAGTCGCCGGGCACATTTGTCCACGTCCCGAATTGTCCGCATTGCCGTACACTAGAGGTGGCGGGTGTCGATAAATGCGACATATCCGAAAATAGAATTTACTTTTAATGGTATAAATAAACACTGGATACATTTTATATTATTCGCGATGGTTGACTAAGTATTTTTTATACGGTTGATACTAACGTTTTTAGTTTGATACGATAAAATGGTCGGGATAATTTAACTTTTAAACTAAGTGATATCTAATATGTACTAATAAATTGATTGACACAGGCTTTCGTTTTTTGATATAATATTTGAATGAAATTTTATTTTTATTTTACATTATTGTGACATTTTAGTATTTACTAAATTAAGATAAGTCTTATGAACTTGAGTTCATAAGTAAATTTCCAAGTTGAGTAACGATTTATTAAGATTTTTTTGATATTCAAAAAAACTTTAAAATTATGCTCGGTCTTAAATTCAAGTTCCCTTTGTATTACAAAATTATGAAACTAATAAAATCCTCAGAGATCGAAAGCCGTGCACGAATTCGATCTATAAACATCACGACAAAGACGTTGTAACATCGACAAATTTTAAGTGACAGATTACATCACTAGGTGACACAAGCTGCCCTAGGGGTCGGACGTCGGGTCATCACAGGGAGTGATCCGCCTACCGTGTCTATGACACAACGCGCTGTCATTTATCCGCTTGCAAAAATAGCTTGCATAGTAATGAATGACAAAATACTGGGATCGCTTCATTAGACGCGTCTGTGAGTGAAGGGTTGGCGGTTTGATTTCAAGGGTAACATTTTATTATTTTGGTTTATTTGAGGGTAATATTTTTTTAAAACG